TCGAGCCGGGTTTAGGGTCTAGTGGTTTAGGGTTTAGGGTTTTTCGGGTTTAGGGTTTAGGGGTTTAGGGGTTTAGGGTTTAGGGGTTTAGGGGTTCAGGGGTTTAGGGTTTGGGGTTGAAGGGTTTAGGGTTTAGGGTTGAGGGGTTTCGGGCTGAAGGTTTAGAGTTTGGGGGTTTGGGGTTAGGCAGGATTCAGGGTTTTGGGGTCCAGATGCCCTGTATTCCATCTGATACTGAACCCTACTTAAGAACTCCCTCTGCGGTCCTTTCAATCCGTGCTGACTTCGTATCTCGTGGCAAATTTTCACGATGTAAGTGCAAACCCCATGGGCAGGGTAACCGCTTTAGGGCTTATGGCTCGACAGAAGGCGACTGAGAACACGCCGCAGAAAACGAAGCCTAGTTACTAGGCTGGCCAGGCCCGAAACAAACCCTTCACCCAGTAATCCCCACATATGAGGCCTTACTCTGAACCCTTAACACAAAACAGAAACCCTCGAACCCGTCGTTAGAAACTCAACCCCTATAAATCCTCAACCCCAAACCCGGAAAGCCCAATAACTGAGCTGTTTCCGTGGACCCTTCGAATCTTCTTTCTAGATCGCTCCAAACCTGCAGGTTCAAAGCATCAACATGGCACTGAACGTCGAAACACTCTAGGCCCTGAAGCCCGAAACTCCAAAACCCTGCAGCTGTAAACTCTAAAGCCTAAAGCCTTGGAAGCTCAACCCTGAAATATCCCCCCTCTGCAGCCGGCAGACTTCACCTGGTCTCGGAGGTACTTGGCATAGCCCTCCACGCCTCCGAACCTCACCGCGCAGCAGCTGAAAGCAGAAACGACTTGGGGCTTCGGCCGAAGCCTTTGGGTTTAGGGTTTAGGGTTTAGGGTTTAGGGTTTAGGGTTTAGGGTTTAGGGTTTAGGGTTTAGGGTTTAGGGTTTAGGCTTAAGGCTACAGGGTTTAGGGTTTAGGGCCTACGGTCTCCAGCCCCAGACCCTAAGCTTTAAATCCTAAACCCTAAGCCCCTACACCCTGACTTATCGGACTCCTAAAGTGTTCTCGTGCGCGAAACATCAGCGAAGGCCGGGCAGAAGACGCAGGTGGCCTTTGACCTAAAGCCTGAAAGCTATGTTCAGAACAGAACAACCCGAAGGGCCCTCTAATATAGGAGCCTAAATAATTAGAACAGGGTTTGGGGGGTATATTATACTATATATATATATATATATATGTATATAATAAGGCACCCCCAAAACCCTGCTCTAATTATTAAGGCCCCTACATTACTCAGGTTTGGGAGTCAGGATTTAGGGGAGGGTTTTTTGTTTAGGGTTTAGGGTGTAGGGTTTAGGGTTCAGGGTTTAGGGTTTAGGGTTTAGGGTTTAGGGTTTGGGGTCCAGGGTCAGGGGCTTTGGACCAAGGGTTCAGCACGGGTTTAGGGATTAGGGTTTAGGGCTGTATGGTTTAGGGTAGAGGGTTTAAGGCATCAGGGTGAAACCTTAAAGACCTAGCACTTTTAGGGTTTAGGGTTTAGCTTAGGGGTTTAGGGTCCCAGGGTTTAGCTTCTAGGGAACTGCGTGCCAGGAAGCAAAACAAAGAGGTCTGCAGCTGACGACGCCGCATCCTGGACGAGGCTCTATGTAGGGCTTAGGATTTGGGGCTTTGGGTTCAGGGTTTAGGGCGTAAGGGCTGTGTCCCACAGCTTCTGTGAGAAATTTAGGATTTGTAAGGCTCTTAGGCTCTTGGCGTGTCGGGCTAAGATGTAGGGCTCTTGATATGGATCATAGTATTTCGGGGACATCGGGAAAAAGTTTTAAATGAGCTTCCTACATTAGCCCGATTGTTGATTTGGAATCCTCATCCAATGATAGCAGATAGCAGGGTTGGGGCGCCCATGTCGAACTTGAGCCTCTGAATCCAAATAGCAAGCATCTCGTACGGTTTCCTTAGCATGGCCCACAATAAGAATCGAATGAAAGAAGAACGTGTGACACCACTTCATACAGTAGGAAGTACAGTAGGAACTTCAGCATCTACCTTTTCAGGGTGGTGCCTGTTCAGCCACTTCTGCATTGAAAACAGGATGCCTGAAATCCCAGAGCCTGAAACCGAGATTCGACAGCAATTGGGGGGGGGGGGGTCCTTCTACTGATTTTGGGGATTCGGGCTTAGGGGTTCGGCTGTCGTGTCTGAGTTCCAGCCCCCTACAAAGGTACCTGCAATCACAACGGGCTAGTTTTAGAATTTAGGGTTTAGGGTTTAGGGAATCCCCTGTCGCAACTGCGAAGATAGTCCCCAACAAACGTTTCTGGCGTTTTCTCAGGGATACACTTGGAAAGCCCCTTCTACTCCGTCGTCGCAAATTCTCAAAACCCCGAAACAAAGCCAGCCCCAAAGCCAAGCCTTACATTGCCTTACACTTCCTGCCGGAGCCCCCAATAAGTTCATATGTTCGAAAGGGGTTTTGTTAATGGTTCGTTTAAGCGCGTCTTCCTAGTTATGAACCCGAAAATCTGAGTTCATGACCGCAATGTAAAGACAAACCACATACACCGACACTCTAAAATCATAAACAAACCTATAAAGAACCCGACGCAGGCGATAAAAATTCTCCAAATACCCTCACTTAAGGGAGTTTGGAAACCCCACCCTCTAAACCCTATAAGCTCTAGAAACCCTTGAAAGGGTTTAGGGTTTAGGGTTTATCTAAATTACAGAAACCCTTAACCCTAAACCCTAAACCCTAAACCCTAAACCCTAAACCCTACACGTGGTTTCCTTGCCCAGGAGGAAGTCTCCAGCCCCGCAATGACCCCGCGCCGCGGCCGAGGCAAACTCGACCAGCTCCTGGCAGCTCGGCGAGTGGGAGGAGTTGGGTACGGTTTAGGGTTCATGTTTTAGGGTTCAGGATTTGGGATTTCGGATTTCGGACTTTGGGTTTAGAAGTTAGGGTGTGTTCAATAATTAGCATAGGCTTGATATGAGTGTTTGGTAGGGTTCATCCAAATTTTGAGCGGGATTTACCCTAAACCCTAAACCCTATAAACCCTATAAGCCCTAAACCCTAAACCCTAAACCGTAGGTTTTACAGCGTTCGAAGATCGGGGCCTGTTGGTTGGACTAGGGCTTAGAGGGTTCGTTTTTGGTAAACTGTTCGGGGACAATAAAAGCAGTTAATGTCGGGGCCTAGATAATTACCTACACTATTTTTGGGACTCCTTATGATAATTATAGTATAATGGGCCCCCAAATCCTATTCTAACTATTAAGGCCCCTATATGAGGATTGCTAATGTTTCAGAGGCTCGGCTTCGTGCATCCGGCAAGCTAGCGACTTAGGACATTCAAACTTAGGGTTTTAAGGTGTTTAGGGTTTAGGGTTTAGGGGTTTAGGGTTTAGCGGTTTAGGGGTCAGGGTTTAGGGTTTAGGGGTTTAGGGGTTTAGGGTTTAGGGTTTAGGTTCGTGCCACTACTAGCACCACGACGACGACCACTACTGCAACCACTAACCGCGGCCTACACGAGAGGGCTTCCACCGACAGAGCCTTCAGGAACTCCCGGCACACCCCTGACTGCTGCCTGCAGACCCTAAACCCTAAACCCTGCACCCTAAACCCTAAACCCAAAACCCTACGACTCCGCCAATCCGGGAGCCAACTTAAGTTGATCTACCTCTGTAGCGACCTACGAAACACTGTTGCGAGCCAAAACAACCCTATCTTGAAACCCTACTTGGCTAAAACATACACAAAGCCCCAGAACCGCTGCAAAAGCGATGGTCAGCAAACCCGCCAGAACAGCGAAGAGGTCGCCACAGGATGCAAGCCCGAACAAGAAGAACCAAATTGACTGAATGCCTGCCGCAAGCCTTAACTTCACGGAAACCATCCATGTTCTGGAACCTGAAACCCTAAATCCGAGCCCCTGAGCCCGAAACCCTCTCCCCAACCTCATGGCCTAAAGCCTGAATTCCGTAAAAATATCTAAGTTCCCTCAGTTTCCTAAAAATCCCAACCCTAAACCCTAAACCCTAAACCCCTGAAAGAAAAACCTCCATTTCGCCTCCTCCAAGGTCAAAGCGCCGGCCGAGCAGCCAGGCGATCCTGGGGTTCCCAGAGACTCCAATATCCCTTAATGGAAGGAATATACCTTAAATCATATTAGGTTTAGGGTTTAGGGTTTAGGGTTTAGGGATCCTACTATAATTTAAGGCATATTCCTTAATTAAGGGATATTGGAGTCTCGGGGTTCTTGGGCCCGAAGTCCTTAGCCCTCGTACCCTGACATACTGGTTTAGGGGCTTAGGGGTTTAGGGTTTAGGGTTGAGGGATTAGGGGTTAGGGGTTAGGGTTTAGGGTTTAGGGTTAAGGATATAAATCCTGCATTACCTTAATTAAGGACCCTAAACTATGGGAATTATGGTCTATTCCTTCCTACGGGTTATGCAGGATTTCTATCATCAACCGAAGGGTATATGAATGTAGGATATACAGCACATGCAGGGCATGTAAGGTATATAGGGTATACAGGGCATACAGGGCATATAAGGTATACAGGGAAAATAGGGTATATAGGGTATACAGGGAAAATAGGGTATATAG